CCTTTGACGGGCTATCACATCAGGGTGGCAGGTCGGCGCGCGAGGCAGACTCTGGTCATTTGAATCGGCCATCTCGCAGCTCGCGACGCATGTCGACTCCCGCGTGGGACTCTTGACGAGTTGTCAGACCTGATGGGCGTCTTCGAAAGTGGCCGGTCCTAGCCGCGCGTGCTCCTCCTGACCGCGGGCGCCCTGCTGCCTGAGACGGGCGAGGTCGACCGGGTCGTCGGCCTGCTGCCCCGCGTCGCGAGGCTCTGGCCCCAGGCGCGGGTGCCATGGGTGAGGGCGTGGTCGCGAGACAGCGAGGCGCCACGGCGCGCCGCGATCCGCGGCGACGCCGCGCTTCAGGAGGCGTTCTTCCGAGCGGTGCGAGAGGAGATGTCGGCGAGGTTTGGCGTGGCCCGCGGCCGCGGTCTGCTGCGCATCGCCAGTTCCCGCGACGCGATCGGGCGGCAGAGGCTAGCGAAGGCGGCGCTGAGGCTCTACTTCCCCGCGGAGTTTTTGGCTCCAGATCTGCCGCAGTGCACGTCAGCGCGCTGCCCGCGGCTGGAGCCTGCTCCGCGCCCTGCGTTCCCGTGAGGTTGGTGGTGCAGGGCGTGCGAGTTGGCGCTCGTTCTGTCAAAGCCATGGCATTTCATGCCTTGCAGCTCGTCTAGACGACGCGCTCCGGCATGCTCATCGGTGTGGGTATATGATATGAATCAACATGCAGTTTGGTCGTGGTGGCCAATCAAGTCTCGTTTGGTTGCGTCTCTCCTGGGCACGCGCCAGAATATTGAGCCACCAGGCCTCGATATCACCACCAAGAGCGTCGTGATTTGCGCTGATTTCGTCGACGCACGCGCGGTGGTCAGACAGGTGGGGGTGCGCGGCTACAGAGCGCGGGCTACGTCCCAAGCCCCGTGCTGAGGCGTCGGTCTAGGGGGCGGGGAGTTGCGCGCTCGGAGGTCAAGAACGCCGCGCGTAGAGAGGCATCGACGCATGCGCGCCGCAGGGGCGAGGTGTGCACGCGCGGCGAGAACGTGCCAATCGACGACAGGGCTGGAGCAACAGGGGGCTGCATCAGCAGGAGCGCGCGCCCATCGCGCGCGCGGTGTCTTTGGCCAAATGATGGAGCAGACGCGCGCCTTCTTATGCGGCGCTTCCGGTACTCGGCCCGCAGGGCGACGCGTCGCCGCGCCTCTGGGCGCGCGAGCTCCAGGTCGGGACGCAGTCTTTCGCTTGCCGAAAGTATCCTCGCACCTATGGGCCTGGGCGCGGCTTGCGCGTCCGCTCGCGAGGACAGAATTCGCCGCGGCGTGGGCCAGCGTCGCGCAGGAGTTTCGCCGTGTCTCGCCACGGCGGCGACCCCGACACGTTCGTGGACCCTGGGCAGCAGCGGCGGCGTGCATCATGCCAGAAGGATGGGATCCTGAAGGGCCAGCAGACTGGCAGGTCCCTGATGACGGCGCAGGCCTCCAGCGCAGTTGGCTGTTCACCCTTGGGGCGCCAGGCCTCGATGCCGTCGATGCCCCCCCCGCCTCCCCGCGGGTATGCGAGGGCGCCGCCGCGCGCCGGATGCGAGGACTCCATGCGCCATGCGTCTGCGGATGCAGAGGCATGGCGCATGGAGCGCGCAACTTGTTCCATCGCGCGTCGCCGCGTCGACGAGGCGGGGCCAAATGGGGGGCGGCCGTCGGGCGCCCCCCTCGCAGCTACAGCGGGGGCGTCGCGGCCCCGCGAGAGAAGGTCAGTGAGACCGCAGCAGGCAATCTTTACAGCTTTTGCCATGCCTAGGTCCCAGTCCGATTTTTGCCACGGGGCATGGACATGCTCGAAAAATGCGGGGCATGATATATACGGATTATCTGATCAATATGCCTCCGGGGCACGCAGTGGGCGCGAGGCTGAACCATGTTTTGGATCAAAGGTCTTGCGCTTCAATCTTGGCTTGCTGCTCCATCCCCGCAGCGAGCGGCCAGTCTGGCTTGCCAAGGCTCTGAGTCGCTTGAAGATAACTGCGTCGGGGCTGGCTCGGAGTCGGCCCCCGTTTTCGTCGCTCGGCGATGCGAGCGGGGGCGAAGATTGCCGCGATCCCGGGCTCCGAAGGGCAGAACTTGTCATGCATTCTGAGCGGTTGCTGAATCTGCAGTTAGTAAGTAGCCTCCATCTGGGGTGGATTCCATTTGGGGCGCCGGGGTGCACCTAGAGGGGAGGTTTTCAGTTCCCTCACGGCGCGTGTAGGTTCGGATGGAGTGGCCGCCGAAAGCACGGACAGTTAGGGCGCACGTTCAGGCTGGCATTGTGGTCGAGCTTTCTCCCCAGAAGGTGAGGACGCAGATCCGCCGTGTAGAATCGGGCCGATTGTTGCAGCAAGCCCACGCTGCAGTGCACAGATCTTTACATTCGCTCTCACCAGGAAACGGGCTGGTCACCTCCATGTGTATTTCACTATCGGCAACGCTGCTGCCGACAAATTAGCAGAGGCTGCCGCAAAGTTTGTCCGCATTCAGCTTTTGAGCGCGCCGGAGTCTTTCTGCACAAGAGGATGGCATGCCATGTCCTTCTTTGAATTATTTGAGGTACTGTGGGAGCCCTGAAGGCAGAGCAAGTTTGGGCTGCCGAGGGGCCCCGAGGAGCCCGTATCAGGCACGCTGGTCCCAGGCCCCCATGCTCCCTTTGTTTGCATGTTTTTCTCTTCCCACAACGTTTTGTCTGACAACGGTTTGTCCTGTAATCGGTGTAAGAGCGCTACCACTAAAGCGTTTTAAACACTTGGTCAGGCATTCCCGCACTCTGACCTGAGGACACTCGATGGTTCAACGCTCATGTCGCCCCGCAATTGCAGGGTGCACATTTGTGGGGATTTGGCTGGTCATACCCACGCTTTAAAGTTTCACGTTGGTTTCACATTTTGTTATGTGGGACATGTGGGTGCTATGCGGCACGGCAGCTATTCCAGTTAGGTAAGTCATGTCTTCAGAGAGCCGAGGGTCGTCGCAACTTCTATCTTAAGAATGTCGAGCGGGGTTTGGCCGAAAGCTTACAGCAAAGCTGAACAGGCCAGACAAGCGGCACGCTAAATGCAAACAGTAGTGACCGGCACAATCGCAACATCCGTAGTTCACTAACTCCTCCTACCTTCCTCCTCCTCCTCCTCCTGTTATCTTTTTTGTTGTTTCCTTGTCCTCCTCCTTTTCCTCCTCCTCCTCCTCCTCCCAATCCGGTGCACCAGGTTGTCGCGGGCCCGCGCGCCCAACCTTGCTGCGTGGGTCATCCACGTAAGAAAATATCATTACCCAAATTGGGTCGTATCCAATGAACAACGCTACAGTGTAAACCCATGCGATGAAACACCCTGCTTGCCTCCAGGGTGCCCTGGGTTTCGTGGTTTTTGATAGTTTTGCGACGGAGTACGGGACGTCCCGACACCCAACAGTGATGGACGTTTTGGGGTCTCAGGCTTGGGTTTCTTGTGGAAGGATGCTTGTGGTCGAGCTCCTACCGACATCGCCATTCAATTTCGGAGGCCCACGCGGATTTTCAATTTCGGAGGCCCGTGGCGGCGTCTCCGGCGCCGCCCTTGGCGCGCTCCGCGCGCAGGGGAGGGGGGTCAATTGCCGATCGAAGAAGTCCGCGCGGACAACCGCCCATAGCATAGCGTAGCGCAGCTTAGCACAGCATAGCATAGCTTAGCATAGCACAGCGCAGCATGACATAGCGTAGCTTAGCATAGCATAGCATAGCATCGCATAGCATAGCGCAGCATATCATAGCATCGCATAGCATAGCATAGCGCAGCATAGCATGGCATGGCATAGCATAGCATCGCATAACAACTAATGCTGCTTTCCTAGGGGCTCCAACTTCTAGGTCGGGTCCGGGGGTCCGATGGTCGAGGGCCCAAGCTCTTGGGCAGTCTGTTGGCGCTTTCTGGCGAGCCTGGCCGGAGGCCTTGTCGCGCTCGGTAGACTGCTTGCTTTCCTCACGGCCAGGGGCCTCGAGGCGTCGGGCTGTTTGGGCGTCGCGTCGGGCCCCTTTCCTAGGCAGTCTGCGGGTCTCCTGGGGTCACGGAGCGAACGGAGTTGGCGAGAGAACCTGCTTCTTGGCCACGGCCATTTTGCGGACGATCTGCTGCCAGTTTCGAGAGAGGAACGTTTTCAGGGGGTACGGCATATGGGGAGCTGGCCCAGGGGGGGGGGCATCGACTCCAATTTGCGCACTCCTCTCAGATCGGGACCCGAGACGCCCTTCCCGCCCAGGAGACGTGAGGCGGAGCGGACTGCTGTCCACGATCTGATCTGTCCAAGAGGCCCCGAAGAGGTCTTCAGCGGGCTTTCACGAGACCATGATCATACATTGTACTCTGATAGTTTAGATAATTTTAGAGTGCTCTACTTTTCGATCTCTCGTCGTTCTAAGACGGCTCCATCGGCACCCCACGATCACCCCAAGGCGATCCAACGATGCGCACTGGCCTGGAAGTCGTCTCTGGTCGTCCTTTGCAGATGCCATGGGCCCCAAAATCTTGTAGTGACGGACCATCGTGGCCGAACGACCTGAGCCCCAAGACCGTGCGGGGGCCCCGAATCCCCACTGGCTCACGTTGCGCTGTGGTTACCACGCCATTTGGGCCTCCCCCGAAGATGGCACTCCGCGTCATCGCCTGACCTTGTCGCTTGCGCAGGTCCGAAAGTGGTGCGCACTACTGGTGCGCGCAGGCAGACGGGCTGCCCAGAGCGAAAAGGTCAGGTCATCGCCCCCCCTGGATAGCTTGGGTTGTGGCCGAGAAAGTAACATCGATCTCTTTTGGGCGACCGGATCGGTCCATCCTAAGGGGCAGTCCTCGAGGAGGAGGAGGAGGAGGAGGAGGAGGAGGAGGAGGAGGAGGAGGAGGAGGAGGGAGGGAGGAGGAGAAGGAGGAGGAGGTGGAGGAGGAGGAGGAGGAGGAGGAGGAGGAGGAGGAGGAGGAGGAGGAGGAGGAGAGGGAGGAGAAGGAGGAGGAGGGCGGCCGTGCGGAGGAGGGCGGACCCGCCAGCGTCCCGCTTTACTGGGCCTCGGCGGCGTACTTCGACGCCGCGCACCTGGAGTCGGACGGGGTCTGGGACGACGGCAGCCAGGCGTCCAGGCTCGGGGGAAGCAACGCGCCGACCAGGGCTCGGGGGCGGCCAAGAGGGGGGTGGTGACTAGGGGGGGGGTAGATATCATTCAGGAGGGGAAAAAACACACAGACACAATTAATCGTCGATTCCCAGGAAAATATGGGAAAATATGGGAATTGGGCGGGAAGACAAAAACCCAGAAATATGGGAAAATATTGGGAATCTTTTTATTTGTGTGTATTTATTTGTGTGTCCCAGGGCCCCTTCAATCAGGGCGGGGGCCATGACATCTCCCCAGGTTTCATGGCGCCACGTCTTATTTCAACGTGTCCCCGGCCCCCCCTCGGGCCGCGCACATGCCGCCGGCCATGATTTGCGCCCCCCCCCTCTTGGTCGCCACCGAATGGCCAAGATGCCGCGAGATTTCGTCGACGCCGACCTTGGCGGTGGTCCATGCCGGCCGTCGTTGCTTCGCCACGAGTCGACGGTGACCGAGATGGATTGCGTGCCGCGTGCAGCCTGGGTCGTTGTCCTCGTTTTCTGTTCCTCCACACAGTGTAAGCCCATTCCAAGAAGCACCCTGCTTGCCTCCAGGGTGCCCTTGGCTTCTTGGGTTTCCCAGGGTTTCCTATGGACAGCGTTACGGGCCCACCACAAAAATCAGTGGAGATCCTGGGGTCTCAAGGTTGGATGTCTCGTGGAAGGTTTCGTGTGGTCGAGCATCTACTGCAGGTCCAGGACCCTGTACGACGATGGCGCCGTGGCGGTGGGCGCCTGGACCTGCACGGCGGGCAGCTTCCCCGTGGTCGGCAGGGGCACCACAGACGGGAGGCCACCGTCGCGCGTGCCGATGTTTGGAGATAGAGGTATACAGTCGGGGCCCTAAAGAAGGAACCCTTCTCGTTAGGGAGGGGCTCCGCGTTCCTTAAGTGTTTCGCAGCTTGCCTCAGGTTTTCCTTATCTGCCCTTGGCTCGCTTTCGCTTTGTTCGGCCTCGGCGAGGCGCTCTCCGCCGCGGCTGGGTTTGCCTCGAAGTTCTGGGCAGGACGCCATCGGGGGCAGCTCCGGGGAGCATCGACCTCGGTGTCTGTTGGTGCCCCAGATGTGGCGTTCCCCAGCCGGTGCCGGCAGCTCTCTGCCCGGGGCCGAAGCAGGGCTCCGCAGGCGGCGCTCCATCGCCCCTGGGGGCGTTTCGCGCGCGCTGGCGCTGCGCAGTCTCTTTCGAGGCATTCCCCCCCCCCCGGCTGAGTGCAAGCCGTGGTGTCGCGGGCAAACACCAGAGCCCACTGAGTGAACCATTGGCGCAACCGGCCCTCTGCCCTTGGCTGCTGCTGCTGCTGCTGCTCCCACCTGGACCCAGCAGTGAAACCGTGCGCCTGGCGCAGGGAAGAAAGACCGTGCCCAGGGGAGGAAGAAGGAAGGCCGAGCAGGGGCGCTTGTGTGGTCCTTCATGGGAGCCTCAGAGAGTCCCAGAGTTCCTTTCGGTTTGGGAGGCTTCGTGCCGATGTCGTCGGATTTGGTCGACATCTGGACGAGATCCGGACGAAGGGGTGTAGCGAGGTGGTCGAAATCAGGATGGAATCCGGTTTCAATCATCTGCATGATAAGGCCGAGGAGGTCCATCTATGCCCCCGCGAAGGCTCAGGCAAGGGCCCTGGAGAGAGAGAGGGGCGCACAAGGCACAGCGCCTCCGAGCTCCCAGCCGCGCATGCCGCACGTCTCGAGGGGGGTGGGGCAGGCAGGGAGGGACGAGCCCATCGGCGTGCGGAGCCGGGGCCCCCCGAGCGGAGTGGTTCCACGTCATCGAGGGCGAGGGGATCATCACCGACGCGGACGGCACCCCGCACGTGTTCCGCGCCGGGGACACGGTGGTCCTGCCGAAGGCCGGGGGCCAACTTTGGACCCTGCAGTCGATAGAGAGAGGTCCGGTCGGGCGGCGTGGCCTGGCCACCTCCCCGATCCTGGCCGGGGCCACCCTGGGCCCAGGACCGGCGGGGGCGGTGGGTTCGTGTCGTGTCGACCCGCGGCGACCCCATCGCCGGCGTTCGACGTGAACGCCACCGGCGACCCAGAATTTTGTTCGGTATGGAGCGTCTTGACGTCTCGGAGACGGCCGGTCGTTCAAGGCTGGACGATCCCCGTGGTCCCAGAAACCAGCGCCGAAGTCGGCACGGCGCGAAGCTGCCGTGGTGAGCGAGAAGCTTTCCGTCCTCCGTCGGAGGCGGCTTGCGGTTGGGTTCTCCACGCCGCATGCCTCGTGGCGCCCGTGGAAGCGGGCGGCCCCCCCTCTCCGCGCATTGGCGGCAGCACCGAGAGGCCCGCGGTGTCAGGCATCCACGCCGAAGGCCGGCACGGCGCGAGCCCGGCGGCAGGCTCCCCTGAGGCTCGGCCGGGAGGGCGCGAGCACCGCTCCCGGGCGCCCAGGCCTGCTCCTCGGCCTGCGGAGTGGCCTCTGGACGCCCGAAATAAAACGACGCGAAGATCGGGACAAAATCGGATCGGGATAACTCGAAATCTCTGAGAATCGGCGGCTTTGAGAATCGGCGGGTTTGGAGGATGTATTGGGCGCCGCGGCCGCTCCAGAGCGTTCCGGAACGCTCTGAGAGCTCTCCGGAACGCTCTGGAGCGATTTATCCCGATTCTAGCCGTGTTTTAGGGTACGGAAAGAATGGGCACGATGCTCAACAGCAGTTCTTGCTCATTCTGAACAGGACTCGCTGTCCGCGCCGCCGCGGCCTGCGCCCATCCGAGACAGAGGGCCGCCCGCCCAACAGCGGCCGCGGTTGGTTTGGGACCACAGTTGTTGTTGGGCACTGTACCCATTCTTGGTGGACAGTCGGACAACTGGTGGACAGTCTCAACTGGTGGTCTCTCAGGAACGACCAGCGGCAGCCGACTCTTCCTGGACAGTTGCACAGCATCTCCACACACCCCTCGTGGAAAACGTCGGTCCCGCTGGCCGACCTGACCCCACTCTTCGCTGGGCGGGGATGGGTGCCCATTTCGGGCGTCCAAATGGTCGGAAAGAGAGGCGGTCCGTGGGCGTCCCCCGGTGCGGAGGCGAGGGCGGCGCGCCCTCGGGGAGGAGGGCTCCGGGGTCACAGCGGGCCCGTGGAGCATGCGGGGCCGGAGCAAGAGCAAGAGGCGGGGGTCACACTTCTGGACGCCCGAAATGGGTACTGAAAGAATGGGTACTATGCCCAACAACAATTCCTGTTCATTTTGAACAAGATCCGCTGTCCACGCCGCCGCGGCTTGTGTCCATTCGAGACAGGAGGCCGCCTGCCCAACAGCGGCCGCTGTTGCTTTGGGACAACATTTGTTGTTGGGCATGTTGCCCATTCTTTCGGTACCCATTTCGGGTGTCCAAAACACTGCACGCGGGTGTCGGTCGGGCGCGCTGGGTCTTGCAGGATGCCGCGGAGCGGGGAGCGCACAGACCCGGGTTCGGGTGCAGGAGCCTGCAGTATCCTGCAGGACTTTGCACTTGGCATCGCTCGGACGTGTGCATGTTTTCTTCGGCGAGGACCATCGAGGAGCATCCTTGATCATTTCGCGAAAAAACCACGCACGAAACCGAAAAAAGCACAGGAAATGGACGTCCGAGCGATGGCCAGTGCAGGATCCTGCAAGGCCTGACGAACCCGGGTCTGGATTGACACGGGTCAGTGGATCCCCGAGGCAGGACGCCGCCTGAGTTTTGCGATGCCCCCCTTGGGTATCTTTTGGTTCAAGTGGGCTGGCCATCGGGGGATGCAGGGCTCCCTGACCCCGAATCCGTAAAGGTTGTTGGGTTGCAGGGTCCGGGCCTCCAACGGCGGTTTCCTTGCGTCTCAAGGGCCAAAGTCCGACTGCAAGGATCCCAAGTTTGCATTTGAAAAGGGATGGTCTGGCCGATGGGACGTGATGAAGGCGGTCCGCAAGATATGGGTCACGAGTGACCACGCGGAGGAGCTGGGTGCCGACGTGGCAGGGCGGGCCGTCGTGGGACCCGTCAACGAGCTCGCCTCTTGGGAGAGTTACACGCCGCTGGGGAAGCGGAAGGCCATGGAGAGGAGGAGGAGGAAGAGGAGGAGGAGGAGCAGTCTGACGACGGGGAAGAGGATGGAAGTGGGCGGGAGCGATGAGGAATGAGGGAGGAGGGAGGAATAATGGATGAGGCAGAAATGTGTCATAAGGCAGAAGCCACTGGCAGGAGGAAGGAGGATAGGCCAATGAGCATGTATGAGGCATCGTGTATGATGTCGGCGTATGTCAACAATGTGGATATAGGGAGGGGTGATCAAGGTTAATGGGGGAGCGAGGGTGGATGACGTTATGATCCAACCCCGTCCATCATCATGATTATGATGAAGAGGGATGAGGGGGATGCGACTACGCGGTCCAAACAAGCGAAACCAGGAGAGATGAAGAGGAGATGGGTATGAAGGAGTAAGTAGTGGGTGAAAACGAGAGAAAGGAGGGAGGACGGGAGAAAGAGTCGTTACGCGCGTTTCCGCGCGGTTTACTTAAGTGATGTGTGATAATATGATTGCGAGGCGAAGCGTAGCGGTACATGGGTGCGCGCGTCTTTCTCTTAGTGTAGCGCGCGCTCGCATCAGCATCCACTTCCACATCTCACGAACGGAACTGTAGAGCTGTGTCGCCAAATCGTGAATGGACCATCTGTCAATAGTATTTTAGAGAAGGGAGCCCCTGAGCCAGGAGACCTGAGTAAGTATATTGCTCGAATGCTAGAGTCTATAGGTGATCTGGCAACTCATTGATCACCCGCCGATGGAATGACGGAGTACCATCATGATGACGAGCGTCATGTGGAACGCCACGACTGTTGCAATGTCCCGACACGGGGCCCGCTTTACGATTACCGGTATATATATATATATATATATGTAAAAAAAGGGCCCCAGTCTGTGCTCCGCCACCCCAGCTTGTTCGCGTGAAGAATCTCAAGCTCACTCCCGCCTTCGGAGCCGCACTCGTGCAGGACGATCACCGATCACGAAGGCGGCGGCGGGGGGAAAAACTTGGCCCGCCTCCTCGTGACGATCTCAGCTGGCGAGGCGGCCTGCCTCCCCTGGTGAGGGATCTCATGCACGATCTCATGATATGCTTTCTTTTTTTCCACTACCACCACCAGAAGATCGAGGGACAGGGGGTCCTCCTCCTCCTCGTCCTCCTCCTCGTCCTTCACCTCCTTCCCCCGGTTGTGGAAAACAGGCCCATCATCTCAGGTGATGGTGAATGTGTGCGGAACAGACTTACCATGGAATCCTTTTGTCCGATGTCGAGGCCATCAAAGCGCCTGGCATCGACGTCCCGGTTGCGGCGGGGGAAATCACTGTGCATGTTCTGCTCTCGAGTCAGTCGAGACACCCTAGAGCCGTCTCAGCGGAACAACGCCCGATGCGCCGGGAAGCGGCTTTCCAGAGAGCTGGCACCGAGGCAGTGGCCAGCGTTCTGTAAGGCGACGAGGGGAACTGCCCCATCCCACGCCGGCATGCATCAAGGCTAGCCCGTGACGAAAGGGAGACCAAGGTACTGACGGGTCGATGGATGCGACGAGGCGTCGCCTTGGTACCATCACAGTTTCCGGCGCCTGCTGCCCAACCTCCAGGCGGCAGTGAGTGTGGAGTCCATGAGCGATAGCCCTGGGGCGTGCGCTGTTTCCATTGGCTCTGCCGCTGGGCCTTCGCTTCCGCCTGGCCAGTCCCTGCAGGCCCGCCCAAACGGGCGGTGGTCGAGGCCTATCCGTCCCGAAGGGCTGCCCGGACACCGACGCTGGAACGGAGAGGGGCAGCAAGCTCGGGGGCGGAAAAGAGGGGGATGATGACTAGGGGGGGTTGGATATCATGGCGGGGGCCATGATATTTCCCCAGATCTCAAGGCGCCTCTTCTAATTTCATTACGTTCCTGGCCCCCCCGCTGGGCCGCGCACATGCCGCCCGCCATGATTTGCACCCCCCCCTCTTGGACACCCCCCTCTTGGCCGCTCCCGACAAGCACCTTTTCCGACCCAAGTGAGCTCCGACAGGGACAGGTCCAGGCGTGATCGCCTCGACCCCGTGGCGGCGAAGGACAGGCGGCAGAGGCGTCCAACTCGATCCGTGGTTTTGTCCAGGAGCGCGGTCTCGATGGTCGGGGGATGCTGGATGCCGACTTCCAATTCTGCAGCGAAAGCGGGAAATCGCTGTCCAGAAGATCGGGCCGATGTCAGAAATCGCTGTCCAGTTTCGTACGCGCGTTCGCAGGCCTGTGAGCATTGCGGCGTCAAATAGTTATGCGCAGAATGTCGCGCAAGGACAAACCAATCGTCTGGGCTTCAGGCAGGCTTAGTGGGAGGCTGAGCAGCAGTAGCGGGCGGAGATAAACATGGCCCATGCAGAGGAGATGTTCCGACAGCAGATGTACCAGGATGCCGTTGATCGGGCTGAAACAAAAACAACCAGGACCCGCGAGATGGAACTGGCGGCGAGGACCGAGACGTCTCGTTGCCGAAGAGGCAGAGACTAACATATGGCACTGAGAGCGCGAGAGGCTGAACCAACAACTCGCGTCGCAGAAGGGTAGGAGGAGCCGAGAAGTAGACATGGCTGAGGCACGCGGGAAGGCCGAGAAAAGGAGATCGTGTGGAGAAAGCGGTCAGGGCCCAAGAGGCGGACATGGTGGCTTTGAAAGCAGACCGTGTCGAGAGGGCAAGGTCGGAGCAAAGCAACGTGCAAGCGTTGCCCGCTCCGAGCTGAGAGACGGGCGGCCGCCGCGCAGGCAGCGACGGCCGCTATCTTCGCTGAGCAAGCAACCGTGCCGACGGCCACTGCTGGAGGTGGTGTCGCAATGGATGCAGGTGGTGGACAGGCTATCCGATGCTGCACGCGCAACTCAGCGAGGTGCGCGGCTGTGTCGGATTGCGACATGTTCCCTACCTAGGCTCTGCCTAGAAGGGTTCTTACTCTCTTAGCTTAAAGGGGCCGGGCAGTGGAAAGCGCCCCGGGCGGTTCCCCCGGTCCCCTGGGAGCGGTTCCCCCCAGTCCCCTGGGAGCTTTAGCTTTAGCTTTAGCTTTAGCTTAGCTTTAGCTTAGCTTTAGCTTAGCTGTAGCTTAGCTGTAGCTTAGCTTTAGCTTAGCGTTTCGCTTAGCTTTTCGCTTAGCGTTTAGCTTAGCGTTTAGCTTAGCTTTCGCTTAGCTTGAGCTTAGCTTGAGCTTAGCTGTAGCTTAGTTGCAGCTAAGCTTTAGCTTAGCTTTAGCTTAGCTTTAGCTTAGCTTTAGCTTAGCTGTAGCTTAGCTGTAGCTTAGCTTTAGCTTAGCTGTTGCTCAGCTTTAGCTTAGCTTTAGCTTAGCTTTAGCTTAGCTTTAGCTTAGCTTTAGCTTAGCTTTAGTTTAGCTTTAGCTTAGCTTTAGCTTAGCTTTAGCCTAGCTGTGGCTTAGCTTTGGCTTAGCTTTAGCTTAGCTTTAGCTCAGCGTTACTGTTACTACTCATGCTGCTTTCCTAGGGGTTCCAACTCTTAGACTGGGATATTTGTTTGTTGTTTTATTTTTGGGGGATAAAAGGCCATTGTGATGTGCGGGTGCACCAGTGTCCGAGATGTCGCGAGAAAAGGCACAGGCTGCCGAGAGGGCTTTCAGGCAAGCAGGTGAAGCAGAAAAAGACAAGGCAAGGCGCATGCGGCAGAACGGGCCTCTTGAGCGTCCTGCGAGGCGCAAGGCAACGGTACGCGTAGCAACGGGAGAGCCATGGAGAGAGAGAGAGAGAGAGAAAGAGTTTTTTTTATATATATATATATATATAGATAAAAGAGAGAGAGAGAGAGAGAGAGAGAGAGAGAGAGAGAGAGAGAGGAAGAGAGAGAGAGAGAGAACGCATCGATTGCTGCATCGAACCTCCCGTGATATGTCTGCCAATGCTGGCGCCCAGGCACGTGGGATCGAGGGAGCGAATGCCAGACCCGAAAAGAGACAGCACACATTGTCGGAGCGGGCTGACGGAGAGGGCCGAGAGACCGGAAGGAGAGGCTCATTGCCGAACGGCTGAAGGGCGGGACGACGGAATAACTTGTAACACCGTGCCAATGGAAGAGCAGGCCGAGCGTCTAGTGGAAATGGCTGAAGCCGTTGCCGCGCAGGAAGCTGTTGAGGCGGTTTCTGTGGATCTGGCAGTGGAAGACGACCGCAGGGCTCCAACACTCCCTGGACACCAGACGCTAGACGGTGAAGCTTCGCCAGCGGGCCCAGATCGAGCATTCCCCTCGAGAGGGAGGGGTCTGGCGGCCCCAGGGGTGACGGTCCCGGAGATAGAAACGTCGCCGGCCGGGGTGCAGGTGGAGGTGGAGACGACCCTGGCGTGCACGGTGGCAACCTTTTTGATAGCGCTGAACAGCGCGGCCTGGAAGAGCAGAGCTCGCCCTGGGGAGCCTGGTGGTCCCAGAGGCCCGCCCGATGGGGGCGGCCCCGGCGGCCGCGGAAACGGCGGTCGTGGGTGAGGTGCGGGGCGGCCTGGGGCTCCCTCTTCATGATCCCCACGGTCTCTCATGACAGTTGGACTGGGCTTTGAACGGTACTCTTCAAAGCTGGCTTGACCCGCCGCCTGGGCTGGCCCACGACAGAGCTCACCAGGAAGACAGCAACAACGACCTGGCTACCTATGGTGTTCACCATGGCACGGGTACGGCAACGGGTATTACACGTTCGGTTTGCCACGACACATGAAGGGGGAAGCCGGGTGCGTAGGAGCACTACCCTACAGCCCGGGAGGGAAACCCATAAATACAACGGGGACCACAACCATAATTGGGAACACTGCCGTTGGCGACACCACACCCTGACGTGACATTGGGATTGCATGTATTGCGGTGCATTGTTTTTGTTCTGCCGGGAGGGACCGCTCCCATTATCCCACGGTCGCCGAGGTCATCCCTCGTGGCGCTGTACGACCAGCGCTTCCGGTTCAACCCCCCGGTACTCTTCAAACTCTGGGTGTCTGGGGCCGAAGATCCGTCGGGCTTGGAGTACGCGCGGGCATTCAGGGAGTGGTGGCGCGTGGGCATGCGTCGGGGCGGCAGGCAAGATTGTTGGTCACTTCGCCTCCATTGCTCTTGCTCGTTGGCCGCTGCTGGCTGTATTCAGTGCTGTGAGCGTTTTCTCTTGCAAGTCCTTCGATCGCGTGATCAGGCTCCAGCCAGCAGTTCGCCGAGAATTTCGCTGGGCTGCCTCTCTCATCCCTCTGGCGTTGGCTGACTTCCAGGCCTCCTGTCCCCCCAAAGATCTACGCGAGCGATGCCAGTGGGGGACGGACTCGGGCAGCGGCTCATGGTCAGCTTGTGTGGAACGGGATGGGGGAGCCATCCCCTGCAGCGAAAACAAGTGGCACCCACACTCCATGAGAACCTGAAGCGTGTTTACAATCATCAGACGGAGGAGGAGGACGAGGATGAAGAGGAGGAGTTGGAGTTGGAGGAGGGGGAGAAGGAGGAGCGTTTTGTTTTGCGTCCGCGCTCTGTTGAATGTGGCCCCTTTGGACTTTGTGTTCGCTGCTCCGTGAAAAAACTTGAACGGCGCGTGCGCTACGTCCTCGCGACTAAAGCCTGAGCAGCGGAAGCAATATGAGGATGAGGAGAGGGAGTTGGATGATAATTGTGCGAAACAGGGGGAGGAGACGGAGGAGGAGGGATGAAGAGGTGGGGGGAGGAAGGAGGGAGAAGGGAGAAGATAAGGAGGAACAGCAGCAGGAGGGAGGAGGAGAAGGAGGAACAGGAGTTGGAGGGAGGAGGAGGGCCTCGACGAAGAGGACGAGGGCGTAGCTTGGAGGAGGCCAGGCCGATTGGGGCGAGCCGGAGCACTTCAGCCAGAAGCAGTGGGCGGCCGGGCCGACGAGCACGGGCTCCTGGGCCTGCACGGAGGGCGGCTTCCTCGGCTCTCCGAACCGGCCGACCACGGAGGTCTTCTACGTGCTGGAGGGGCTGCCTTGGGGGGGAGAGGAACCGAAACCTTCGGGAGCCTTGAGACGGGGGTCAATGCAAACGGTCGGGGGTGGACAGACCTCCTACCCTGACACGTCGATTAGTGAATTGTCCGTTTTCGGTTCTCGAGAGAGCGCCGCGGCCGTTATTTTCCAGGTTTGCGCCCGCCAGGTTTGGGCCCGAGGTCGTTTTCACTAAACCACGTTTTACTAAAGGGAGGTCAGTCCATCCCCGAAACGGGGTCAGCTAGAACGCCCGATCTTGCAGGATCCTGCAGGGCCAGGGCCGCATTGACTTGGGTTTGGGTGCAGGATCCTGCAGGATCTTACAGGATCCTTCACGTCGGCCCGGGTTTGGATCTTGCAGGATCTTGCCAGGCCTGCTTGACCCGAGTCTGAATTGACCCGTTTCAGAAGACCCCCGAAACCTCAGAGGAGGATTCGTTTGGCAAGCTTCTTGTAAATGTCGTAAATGGGGCTCTTACCGGGCCCCGGGACCATCAAAAAACGACTCGACGTTGAGCGAAAACCATGACGTCGGTGCCCTCGAGAGCCCAGGGCTTCGACGTTGTGACCGTTTCCGTGCTGGCGGCTTGTCCTCCATCCCTGGTTTGGAGGCGGTCGAGAACGACTCGGGATGAGAAGCCGGCCCCTGGGAGGGGTTGAGAGTTCCGGGGTTCCCAGATCGAGACTGTGACGACGTTGGAGGTGTGGGGAAGCCTCTCGAGAAAGCTTGATTTTGGGCCTTCATTTCCTGAGGCTGTGCTTCCTCACGGGCCTGGACGGCATCGCGCGCAGGGTGCTCCCTTGTTGTCGTCCTTCTTCTCCTCGTCATCGCGGGGCGGCAGCCGTTCACGTGTACCAATCTGGATCAGGCCGAACCAGGCCCAGCATTGGTTGACCCCCCAAGCTTGGCCAGGAAGGCGTACACGCCAAACCTGCGCCCAGGGTGGCCTGGCCCAGAAGCGCTGCAGCCAGAGCTCTCGCAGCTCAAGGGGCCTCGTCGTCGTCACCATCGACTCGAAGGAAACAATGTGTAGATACACGCTTTCGGAGGTCCGCGCCGATTTTTTGGATCGGCGCTGGACCCCCCCTCCCTGGCGCGCGGAGCGCGCTCCAGGGTGGCGCCAGAGGCGCCGCCTAGGGGGGGGGGCCAGCGCCGACCCAAGAGCTCCACGCGGAGCTCCGAATCTCCTGATAACTACAGCGGGAACCCACGCCAAGACGCACCCTGCTTGCATCCAGGGTGCGTTGGTTTTCTCGGGTTTCGATGGTTTTGCGATTGAAAGCGTGACGCTCCCACCAAAAGTCAAAGGACGTCCCGGGGTCTTGGGTTTGTTGTTTCTGTTCAAGTGTTCTTGCGGTCGAGCTCCTACTGTAACCTTGTGCCGCTTTTTGTTCATGCGTCCTGCTCCTCCTGTTCCTCGGTGGCGGCGGGGGACACCGTGATCTTGCCGAAGGGGTGGAGCGGGCGGTGGGACGTGGTGAAGCCCATCCGCAAGGTGTGGGCCGTCGTGAAGTAGGGCCTAATGGCGGTCGGCGCCCTCCGCGCGCCCATCGGCGCGGGTTGTGGCCCGCGGCCAGGCCGGCGCGGCGGCGTTCTGCCCCCCCCTACCCCCTGCGGACGTCTCGGAGATTGGTGCGGGCAGGGTTTGTGAATCTCGGGTAGGGGATCGACTACAGAGGTGATGTGCCCCAAGATGCATGGCCGCGTCTAATCTACAATCGAAGACGCAGCATTGCGAGATGCCCGACCCCGAACCAAACCCCTGAGTCGGTTTTGGAGTTCGCCGCGGCGATCGCGGCGGCCAGAGATCGGGGCAAGGTCTCGGTCAAGGCGTGGCACGCCCCTTCCCAGCCCCCCCACCCGGTCTGCGATGTAGACTTGGCTCATAGCTGGCAGCACAGCGACAGAGTTGTCAATGTGCGTCCAACATGGACAACACTGTTCTTTTGGTGTTAGGGGTCGCTTATTTCGCAACCATGTGTATCCCTATGACGGGGTACAGCTCGTGGGATGGTAAACTCATGCTCGTCGCTGGTCCATCCGTGGTCGATGCGCTACCTCATCTGGCATAGTGCCACTGAGAGCGGCTTGATCCTGCTTAATCTCGCTTAGTCCAGCCATCGTGTTCCCACTGAATCCGTCTACATCTCGGACCCAATCCGGCCTATTCTGTCTTATTGGCAAATCGGGCTTAATCTCTTTCAATCGAAGTTGCCTCCTAACCTATCAACGGCGTCTTCGATTTCCGTGGACGGGATGCCAAACTCCAGAGATGCACCTTACATGTATGAAAGTCTGGCCTCTCCAGCTGCCATACTTCTACTAATATCCACGGTGTCCCTGGTATCGAGGGAAGGGGGTCCAAACATCTGAGACACAGTGGACGTGGACATGAACCAGGCCCGCAGTTTGCGCGCGGCCTTCGACCTGCGCGCTTCCTCCTCCTCGGAGAAGGACAAAGGTACCGATGCCGCCACCCCTGCTCCTCGCTTTCGCCCTCTGGGCCCCCTGGCGAGGCCCTCGTCGTCGCGGCTCGGCTCGTTTCTGGTCAGAGCACACAGCGACGTCGGTACCTTTTGGCTCCCCCAGCTCCCCTTGCTTTCGGGTGTTGCTGGACGTGCCCCGTGCCCAAGGTCCCCCCAGAATCTCCCAGGAGGCCCCCACGGCTTCCCGAGCACCGCTCACGAGGCCCAGAGGGCCCCAGGGGCCTCGGCATCGCTCGGACGTGTGGCTTCCTAGGCGAGGACCACCGACGAGCATCCTGGACCAGCCTGCGACAAAAAGGAGCACCCGAAGCCGACGCCTGCGCGGGGCATAGGTGTCCGAGCGACGTGTGGATTTCTAGGCGAGGAGCATCGAGGAGCATCCTGGACCAGCCTGCGACAAACAGGGAGCCCCCGAAGCCGACGCCTGCACGGGGAAAAAAAGGCGGCCGAGCGACGGGAGGGGGCTGCAAGATGGAGCGACAAGCTGGGGGGCACCTTGGGCCATAGGCTTGGCATCGCTCGGACGTGTGCAGTTTTCCTTCTGCGAGGGCCATCGAGGAGTATCCTTGACCATTTCGCGAAAAAACCACGCACGAAACCGAACAAAAAAAACACAGGAAATGGACGTCCGAGCGATGGCCAGTATGGGGCACCTCTTTCGCAGCCCCCCGCTTTTTTTTTCAAAGGCGTGCGCGCCGGTCGAGCAGGCGCCCCTGGCGACCTCGCCGGTGACTTCGCCGACCTCGCCCGGCCCGCGTGCGGAAAAGTTTGTGAGCGCGCCGCCTGCCCGGCCCAGGAGCCGCGCCGCGCGCACAGCACGGCCACCGCCGCCACCTTGTGGCAGCGGCAGCCATGCTCGAACGGGGCCAGGACGAGGATGCTCAGGAGGGGAACAAAAAGCACGCAGACACAATTCATCTTCGATTCCCCTGAAGGTATGGGAAAGTGTGGGAAGTGGTGGGGAAAAAAAAAAACAAGATAATATGGGATCATCTGTTTTTTGTTATTTGTGTGCATTTATTTGTGTGTCTCAGGGCCCCTTCAGATACATCCGTTCCAGAGCGTCACGGAACGCTCTCGGAGCGTTTCGGCACGATGCGAGAGGGCCGCGGCGCCGGAGACATTTTCCAGAGCCGCCGGATCACAGGGATTCTCGATTCACCCTCACCCGGTCTTGTTTTCGTCCTGGCCTCGTCGTGCTCTCGTTGGAGGGAGCCCTCTTACCACATGATCGATGCCGCCAGCCCGCGTGCTCTCGTTCGTCTGTATCGTTTAACCGATCCCCATCCCCATCTCCATCCCCTTGAGACCCCCACCAACTTACAGTTGGGGATACATTCCTCGAAATCAAAAGGGAACGACCTATATCCCCATTTAGGGGGGTACATCGGCCAGTGGGCCCCAGGCCACGCCGCTGGGGATGGGGATCGGTAATCGATACTCGGTTCGTTTGCACAGACCATCGCCTTGCACCGTCACTTGGCTAGCACTGCCACAAGCTTCGGGTCGGGCGAACGGGGGGGTTTGGGAAAGGGGGGGTTACGAAATCTGCTGCATGCAGCTGGTTTCAGACCCGACCGAGGGGCCCATTCCTCGATACATGGGCGCCTCCCGGCGCCGGGAGGCGCCGGGAAAATCAGCTACGTGGGCTGATTCTTCTGCACGCACGAAATGGGTACGGAAAGAATGGGTACAAAGCCCAACAGCATTTCCTGTCCATTTTGAAAAGGACTCGCTGTCCGCGCCGCCGCGGTCTGCGTCCATTTAAGACAGAAGGCCGCCTGCCCAACAGCGGCCGCTGTTGGTTTGGGACAACATCGGTTGTTGGGCATAGTGCCCATTCTTTCCGTACCCATTTCGGGCGTCCAAAATTCTCAAACCCCCCCTTTGCTATTCCCCCCCTTTCGCCCGACCCGAACGCTCTTTCCCGCCTTAGCCCGGTCGGATACAGCAAGGGGCCCCGGCCGAGGGGGAGCGCTGGCGATGGGGCCCTGCCGCCGCGGCGTGAACTCGCGGCGTCCCCGCCGCCCCCCGCTCGGCGATGACCAAGCGGCCCGCGCCCGACGACGGTCGCGGTGGCAACTCGTGGGAGCCTCGATGTGTCTGCAAGCTTCCTTTTGGAGGGTGCCTCGGCGTGCGACTGCGCCTGGTGATCGAGGGGGAGGCGTCGAGGGAGCGTCGATGGGCGTCGAGAGCCATTGACCACGGAGATAGCACGGGAAGCTCCCATGAGTTGCCGCGGGATGCGGGGACCGACGGCCTGCGTAGGGCGACGAGATTGGATGATTCAATCCAATTTTTGCTTAATGAAGGAATGAATGACTGAATGAATTGTTGAATGAACGAATTAGTTCGAGGTAATGAATTAGTTCGAGGTAGTGAGTCAATCTGTTCATTGTTTACTCCATTAATCAAGTTTGCTAAGTCATCCCTCTTCACTATGAATGATACAAAGGGCCCAGGGTTGGCTTCAGCCAACCCTGGGCCCAGGTGCACATGCCTTCCCGGCCAAGCCTGGAGGGCGTCTATACGTCGCCGCTGGGCCCTGCGTGGGCCCTGCCGAGCACCCGTGGGACGTGTGCCGTTCGC